ATGAGTTGGGCTAACTCAACATTAACAAATGTGATCGGTATGCAATAAAAATGTTAGGGAAATAACAGGATTGGTTCAAATAATGACTAGCATAAATTGGTATGCAATAAAAATGTTAGGAAATTAACAAATAACTGGATTGGTTAAAATAATGACTAGCATAAAATATTTTTCCTTTTTTAAATTTGGCTTAAAGCAGCCGTCTCCAACCCTGCTCCTGGAGAGCTACTGTCCTGTAGACTTCAGTTCCAACCTGCCTGTAATTATCAAGTAGCCCTGAACACCTTGATTAGCTGCTTCAGGTGTGTTTGATTGGGGTTGGAGCTGAAATCTGTAGGACAGTAGATCTCCGGGAGCAGGGTTGGAGACCTCTGGCTTAAAGGGTACATGGGCTCAATGGGTACACTTACCCTACATCAGGGGTGCCCAACCCTGTTCCAGGAGATCTATCTTCCTGCAGAGTTCAGCCTAAAAATGGAACTAAAAATACAATCTCTTGGTTATCCTCAGCTCTTAAAATGTACAATTGGTAAAATATTTTCTTTGTGAATGCAGTATTTAGAAATTGATTTTTAAAAAATGCTTATAGGACTTGTCATGGTGATTTCATGGTGTATATATATATTTTTAAATGCTTATAGGATTTGTCATGGTGATTTCATGGTGTAGAAACCCTGTTTAAACCATTAAGTGCAATTTTAAATATATATTAGTAACTTTGTCCCCCTTTTTTGTCAGGTCGTGGAGTGTTTGCCTTGGCTCCTTTCAATAAAGGAGATTTTGTTGCTGAATATAGAGGGGAAATGATTGACTTTACTGAAGCAGAACACAGAAGAGAAGTTTATCAAAATCCTGTTTTTATGTTTGACTTTACTTGGCAGAACAAGAAGTGGTGGTAGGTTTTTTTTTTAGTTTTTTTTTTTAACTTAATGTAGACTTTGTAATCATTGTCTTTGCATTCATGTCATAGTTTTTGTCTAATGGTTTATTGTTAGTCTAAGCATTCAAAAAATGTTATGTGCTTTTTCTTATTTTTGAAGTATTGATGCAACTAATGAGAATGCCCCCCTTGGCCGGCTTGTCAATGACAACCACATGCACCCGAACTGTACCATGAAGAAGATTGTCACCGAGGGAAAACCCAATTTATGCCTTTTTGCTTTGAGGGATATTGTTCCTGGAGAGGAAATAACTTATGATTATGGAGAAAGTATCTGGCCTTGGAGAAAGGTTTGACAAAATTCAACTACTTTTGTCATTTTTACAGATTACTTTTGAGATTGTTGCAGAAGAGTAGACAAACTACTTTGTCATACCTGTGTTTTTAACAGAACGTTCTGTTGCTTAGTTATGTTTATTGTCACCATTTAAACTGTCCTGTCAATCATCTTGTCACGGTTAAC